GGGAAGGATATAAGATCCTGAGGATGGGCAAGAGTGTTGTGAAATCTTGTCTATCTAGCCTGATATCGCAGATACATCCATTTGTAGCAGCTGTGGTTTCCTGCACGAGACTAAGCCAGTCTCGAGGACGAGGAAGGGGCTCACAAGACCCCAACCATAACCAAGAAGCTACTGGCAGGAGTTGGCTTCTGAGGGAAGGAAAGTCTTTTATTTTTCCCCTGGGATGTGGCCTCTGGTAGATTGCCCAAACTCCAGAGGATGGCTTTACAAACACAAGAGTGTGGGAAGCATTAACTGAACTCAATGGGTCGTATTTTCAAAAGCGAAAAGAGAACAAGAAGCAGGCAGAAGGATTAGGTAGGAGACTCTCAGAGGAGTTGGGGAAGGGAAGGATATGCCAAAATACATTTTATATGTATTATGAAATCCTCAAAGAAGGAAGAATAATACACGCATGAAATATTCAAAACAATTTTAAAAGGCCATAAAATACTGTGACCATGAATTGAGTCTTCCTAGTGATTAGTGACTCTTTCCACTTCTGTAGAATCTCCTCAATTTGCAGGATCACGGCTCCGTCTGTGCAGTGGCTGGCTTGTTGTTATATACTGCCCCAGGGTCGAAAAACAAGCCATCCACCAGTTTAAATATTATTGACTCATTGACTGAATTATTTTACTAGAAGTGCATGTTGTGATGAAAGACCAGCCTTTTGTTGTTCTTTGAGATCAAACTTGAGCTGTGTGTGCCACTCTCCCTAGCATGTTTTCATCTTGCTCTTCAGAAGGAATACATTTATGACGAGTCTTTGCAGTTTGCTATCTCAACTATAAAGGTTGTGGCAAAGTGTTGAGTAGGAACTACATAGTCATTTTCTCTCTCTCTCTCTCTCTCTCTCTCTCTCTCTCTCTCAAAGCCTGGTATCACTATGTAGATTTGGCTTGCCTAGAATTCACTGGCCCTGAACACCCAGAGGTCCACCTGCCTATATGTCCCAAACGCTGGGATTAAGGGTGTATTCTGCCATGCCCCTCCTATAGTTACTAACATTACAGAAATTAGAAAACATGTGAAATTGTTACCAAAGATGCATATATCTTGCAGTGATGTGAATAGGAATGACTTATATATTTGAATGTTTAGTCATGGGAGTCATACTATTTGAAAAGGATTTAGAGGTTCAGCCTTGTTGGAGGAAGTGTGTCACTAGGGCTGGGCTTTGAGGTCCTGAGAGCCTGAGCGGAGCCCAGAGTCGCTCTCTCAGCCTGCACATCAGGATTTATCTCAGCTACTTCTCCAGGACCGCACATGCTTGCCAAGATGCTCCTCGCTATCGTGATAATGGACTAGACCCTGAAACTCAATTAGATGCTTTCTAAAATGAGAGTTGCCTTGGTCATGGTGTCTCTTCACAGCAATAGGACAGTGACTAAGACATATCTGCATGCCATTTTCCAAATCACAAGCAGGTTTCAACTCCACAGGCTTAAACATTCACCAGTTCCTATATATATGTCATGAGTGCCACCAACCACAAAAATAAGTGTAACAACAATGTGGAGGCAGAAGAGTCTGACACCCAATGGTGTATGGTTAGAAGGAAAAATGATACCTGACAGTTTCTTTGTGCTGTCACTCATACCAAAGGTTAAAATGTAATGAGTAATAGCAACAATAATAAAGGAGGTAATGTTTAAATGCTCATTATATGTTAGAAAACATTCTAAGCCCTTATCTGAATTAATTTATTAGAAGAGGAGCTGAAACAGGTTGATACTAGATAGCTCAGTCTAGCTTGAAACTTGAAATCCTCCTGCCTCATCCTCTCGAGTTCTTCTTCACTAGAGGCATACACCAGCCTATCTACCTTCTTTAATACGGCTCTAAAAGGTATGTATTAGTATCAAGCACATCGAAGAAGAAGAAAAAGAAGAAGAAGAGGAGGAGGAGGAGGAGGAGAAAGAGAAAGAAGAAAAAAAAGAGACCAAGTTGCCTGGGAAGAAGGAACTTCATCCAGTCATACTTTTGGCATCTGTCAACTGGTACTGAAACATAAGCTCCTTACTGGTACCAACTAGAGGGAATGGGAACTGTGGATGTCGTGACAGCAGTTCAGGAATGGGGTTTCACATCACCTAGGGGACACGGGTAGGCAGTAACTATTATCCTGCAACTTGCACCTGTACTGCACATCTGAAGCTGGCTCAGCCCTCAGTGCCACCTTTTCATACAAAGATTCATCCTGGAAGGGAAATATTCCCAGTTCTGTATTCCCAACCCCTCTTTCCCTTCTCTTCTCTCTCCTTCTTCCTATGTCTGTCTCTCTCTCTCCCATTTCTCTTTCTCTCCTTGAACACATTCAGCAATGCCTTCCTTAATCCAATATTAACTGGTATGTCACCATCCAATTAAAAGAAATAATGAAAGTTTCCATTAGCCATAGGCAGAATGGGCCAAGAGCAGCTCTATCTTTTGTGTGTGACAAGTGTGCTGACAAATCCCTCATCCAGCTTCACAAACACCTCAAACCATAAAACATGAGTGGTAATTATTTTCTTTTAGAAAACCTTGCTGAATGACTGACTACTCAGACATGTGTAACAAGTCAGCGTACAGGCTTTTGCATAAACACATAAATGTATTTATGTAAATGAATACACATAAATAAATGGAAAAGAAGGTTCAAAATCCCATCGTCAATACACTTATGAATTTTCCTTTTTTCTGTAGTATAAAGGATTGAACATAAAGTTATGCTTATACCAGGCAAGCTCTTGCACTACTGAACTCTGTCCCCAGCCCCTGAATCCAATCTCTTCACTGTTGAGACTTCTCTTGAGTCCATAATGATGGCTTCCATGGCTTTTAGACATACTCCCAAGAAAAGCTCCTATAGCGGTCTTTCTCTGGCGAGGAGCAGGTGTGATCTACACGTATTAAAATAACACGTGTCATGGCTACGGGCCAGTTTTTGCCACTGGTTTTGAGACAGATTCTCACACTGTATTCGAACTGAACTTGTGGCAAACCTTCTGCCTCAATCTCCTGAGTTTTGGAATTACAGGCTGTGATGACTATTATTGGTTATCAACTTGACTACATTTAGAACTGACTAAAATCCAGTGGCTGAGTGCACTTGTGAGGGATTTTTCTTAGTTAAATGATTTGAAGATCCATATTTAATCTTGGCCACACATTCTGGTAGTAGCTTCCAAAAAGGACATTGAGGAAGACAGTCCTTGTTCTTTGCCTGTTTGCCCTGGATCTCACTGCTAAGTTCATTCCTTTACTGGCATTTGAGCCTACTTCTTTGAGACACCCAGCCTCATGTACTAAATAACTACTGGATTCTTGGACTTTCCATGAGTGGTAGCCATTGTTATACTAGCTAGACCATTCTAATAAATCCCATCTGTATTATATAATGAATATATTAGTTCTGTTTCTCTAGAGGTCCCGACTCACTGGCCATATACTAACCTGTCCTACTCAAGCCTCTTTCTAATCTGTGAATTATTTCATGTACTACCACCTTGAGGCTGTTAATACTCTACAAAACTCATGCTCATCTGAACACTGAAATATCAGTCTTGTATTTCCCTGCCTTAATCTTAAGTGTGGGCTTATCTTAATGAATGTTTATTATCCTTAAACTAGACAAGAGTAGTTGTAGGTGTGAAGTCCTAGATGCCAGTTGTCTCATCAGCATCATGACAGATGACCCATGAGGTGCTACTCTCTTTCTTCACCATGGAGATGAAAATCAATATTCCTAATCTCTTGGTCTCCCATTCCCAGGGTGTGGGGGGTGAGTCACACCACCAGCATACCTGGAAATAATCACATACAGCCTCCCACAAGCACAACAATCCTTTAACTTTTGTATCCATATGCATTTTAGCTCCGGCCCATAGTGCAATCATGTTTACTTACTATAAATATGAAAAGGCTTACCCTCAGAATCCAGATTCATCCCACCCCAGGAGTCTATCGGACCCAACCCACTAGGCCGCACTCAGAAAGTGTGACATACATATCAATTTTTACTTTAAGTAGCAGCAATCTATAGCTAGTTGTATATTGTGGCATCCACAATTCTGTTGTCATTAAATTGTATAATACCAACACCAACCCATTAGTCTGTCATTGCACATCTAGAGTACCTTGCTCAGGGTGAGTCCTCTTTCCATAAGTCTTGTGCTCTCTAAATCAATGATGAATTATTCTAAGAAACATCTTTCATAAGACTTTGAACACATTTTTATATAAAAAAAAACCCTGATATTGACTTGAGTTTGGATAGAAGGATATTAAATTAGTAAGAATGTGCCATCACATTCATCTCACAGATATTACCTTAATCTCTTCTGCCCTCACTATAAATCTGTTACTAGTATGTATGCTTTCCTTCCTTCTTAGCTTATCTTTGGCCTTTCCCTTCCTACTGACATTGCAAAGCAGAGTTAAACTAAAAGGTCCCACTTATGCAATAAAGGTCTTTAAACCTGAACTTCCTTTTTTAATTTCATGATTCAACTTATGAAATCTGAATTATCATTTGTTTTTTTCTTCTATGATTTAAGATAAGCTACTTAAATATCATTTAAAGGAAGAGATTCTCGTAGCAATCAAGAATCAATAAAATGTGAAATAGAAGTTAGAGAATTGGGTTCATCTGATCTTTAGACTTGTTATATGCATTCCTGTGCCTCTCCAGTTACCTCATAAAACTACGAATAATGTAGACATGGGTTCCTTGTAAATATGACAGTTTGAGGTAATCACAAAGTACCGAGCTGGCTCTTTTCCCATCGCAGTGATCCTGGTGTCATTTCCTCATTGAATAACATGCTCAGATACCGAATATGTTAAATAGAGTATTATGATTTCTCAGGGAAAATCAGAAGATCCTTTTGTAAGGAACACTGAAACTTGGCAAGCACCAGTTCATGCCTTCCTACACAGAGTGAACGGACAAGCCCTACCCAAGGTTTCCATACCTGGGTCGGGCGGCAGGCAAGCGCAGGAGAAGTGAGTGTTGTAACCCACTTTAAAGTCAGAGTTGATGGGATAGTAATCAGCTAGCTTGATCATCTTCTTGAAAGCGTCGTAGATGAAGATGAAGCTGATCAGAGAGGAGAAACCTTCTTCTGTGAAACGAGTGAAATACTGAACCAGGAAGCTGGCATCAGTGGCCACCAGAAAGAGACACATGAAGGCCGACCACAGGCCAATCCAAAGACGAAACTCCAAGTAGTCAAAATTATGGTCCCTGGAAAAAACAAACAAACAAATAAAAACAGGTATTTTGATAGCTCTCCAGGAAACATGCAGAACATAAAACCACTAAAATGCCTATAGAATGGTTGCTAAGCATACAGATCACTTTCAGAAACTACATATAAAGCTCAATTTTTGCCCAGAAAATTTTAAGTTTGAGGATATTATTAAGCTACCTTTAGGAATCACTCTGAAAGTATTTTTGTTTTTGTTTGTGTGTGTGTGTGTGGGGGGGGCACTTAGAAAGTACAATTAGCGCTAGTGTGTACAACTCAACTCACTAATTTTTGCTTTCAAAAAATAACTCCTGAGGTGGAAGCTTCCACCCTGCTAAGCTGGCTTCCACAGAACCAAAGGGTACTATGAGGGCTGCTGGCAGGAAACAGTGTCCATGGTCTTACCCAGATGCCAACCATAATGCCAACTTGACAAGCACATGCACAATTGTGCAGCAGTGGCTTGACTGTTCTAGAGGAAACCAATTACTCTCTGAGACCTGTGTACCAGAGAAACCCCCATGCCTGGTCCTGTAAATCTGCTAAAATAATAATAAAAATAATAATAATAATAATAATAATAAAAGGAAAGGAAAGGAAAAGAAGAAAAGGAACCACAGCTGGTGAAATCACAGGCTCTAGACAAGATTTTAATATTAATATTGCTGCTTAGTTAGACAGATAATAATTAACAAATGTCCACTAAATCTCTGTGTTTATAGACAAAGGCTATCTTCACTTTAATCAGAAAAGCCTCTGTTGCTAGTGAGTGACAGTGAAATCAGAGACTCATGAATTCTCAAGATGGGATAATAAGTAATTGACTGCTCAGCCCTACACAGATACTTATACTTATCTCTTGACAATTATCTCTCGCAATGCTCAAGGACTACTGTAGCAAAGTGGGAAAAATAACATTAGAGACAGAAGACATCTGTACCATCTTTGGGGGAAGACAAAATTACAATCACAAACTCACATCATAGTCTAGTTTATTACACTAGATGCATAAAAATAAAAGGAGACCAGAAATAGTCAGGTATTTGTGGGGAACAGAGCCCTGTAACTCATAGATAACCTACTATTTGCAGGTTAATTCTGGAGGATAGTGGGTTACTGCCTTCGCTTGCCTGTCTACTAGCAAACCCACAGGACTTCAATGACTAATACCAAGCATGGGTATACACAAATGACCTTGGTTGAACCAGGTGGTTTACAAAACACCAAAAAGGATAACAGTGTTGGAAAGGGACTTCTGGGGGTGACAAGAGGGGTCATAGGGGTGAAGAAGAGACAAGAGGGGGTAGGGATGAGTATAACATAGTGCATATATGAAATTGTTAAAGAATAAGCTTAAATTCAAAAAAAGTTTATTTTAATAATACAGTGTATTATTTTAATGAACAGTGTAAAGTATTTAAAAGCATTGATATCAGGTGCATATAGGGTAATACACTGGTTAATTGTGTGCACAACTCAGGACTGTCTTCTCCTAAGGGAGACAAAATGATACAGGAAATCATATTATAAAATGCTGAGTGACCGAGTCATGAGGGAAAAGGGTGAGTAAGTTTGGGAGGAAATGAAGTTGCAGAAAAGAAAACCAAAGTGTTGGAGAATATGCATGAAGAAATTTTCCAGACTGAGTAGGAAGAGCCAGGCTAAGAGGCAGAGGAACAGTTTGAAAGAGCCATGGTATAAAGTTTAGGCTGTAAAGGGCAGTGTGGACAGAGCATGACCAGCAAGAGCTCAGGAGGGCAAACATGGGCTGTTATCACATCAAGAGAGGTTGCCCTGCCATGACGCGGCCAAACACTACAGGTTCTCATCGAGTGCTCGCTTTTACCATGACTGGGTGTGAAACACCTGCCTCTGTCTTGTTCTGCCTGGGTCTGTTCCACATACGACTTAGAACAGACCATTGTCATCTCATTAGGCTGCTGTCTTTCAATGTCCTTCCCATTCCTTCTAAGTCAAAATCGACAGGAGATGATGGGTCAAGGATTGACATTTTTTTTATTATCTTTAAGTTATGTCGAAAGTGAGTGCTTTTTAAATGATCATTAGTTGATAATTTATCGTCCTATCTCATAACCTGGTGAGAAAGGAGATAGAACTTAAGAACCTAGGATCCTGCATACCTGACATTTTTCAATCTTGCTTCTAGGCAACTATTTTCTGATAACTGTTAACTACTGTTTTAACTCTTTCCCAAAGGTATCATTTCCAATCATCAACACAGAGGCCTGTGTGTTACCACACAGAACAAGGAAATAATTGCAGAATGTTAGATTTTAAAGGTTCTTACACACTGGGGTAGTAAATTCTTTGTCGACTTGACTGGCTTATGGGGTGCCCAAATGTGTGGTGAAACATTATTGTGTGTTTCTCCAGGTCTGTTTCTGAAGAGATTAACATTTAAATTCATGGACTCTGGGTAAATGGGAATAGGCCTCATCCCATTAGGTGAAAAGTAGAACAGATCAAAAATAATTATGAACACTTTAGAAAGAAGTTATGTTCTATAGATCTGCAGAGGTAATCTAACAATAGCTTTACCTCCTACTACAGTTCTGTGTATACCTACATCTCTGCTAATTAATGTTATACATGTCTGTGTAAGATAAGCAAAGTGAAGAAGAAAAAAACATGCCCTAAGAATTGAGGTGATTCACATTATCATAAGAGACAGCTCCAGACCAAGCTAAGCAACGTTTTACTACCATTTGAGCATTTTTCTTAAAAGTTCTAAAACAACTATCTAGTTTTGCTTTCCTAAGAAGATGAAAATAAAATGATCCTTTTTATTCGATTGGTTGGTTTCTTTTTGTTTTTTTGAGAAAGGGGCTCACTCAATAGTTCAGGCTTGCCTGGAACTCAACATATATCCCGGGCTGGCTTTAAAGTGAGATCACTTCTGCCGCAGCCTTCCACATGCTGAAATATTAGGCGTGCACCACCATGCCCAGACTGAAAGCTAAACCACTCCAGATTTGTTCCAAGAATTCTAGAGGTTGTTACAGAATTGATGTTTGCAAGAAAGGATAAGAAACAAATCCATTAATTGTTAGCAATTAAAACATCATGAGTTTGGACACAAAGGAAAAAATGCACATACAAGCTTAAATCTTAGAATCTAAACAGTATACACCAAACTAGCTATTCTAAGAGACTTTCAAACTGCCAGGGTATTTTAGTGAGAATGACTCAAATAAAATCACTAACTAAAACAATGGCATGGTTATGAGCCCACAACGTTTACAGCTTCAAGAAGAAGCTGAAGATGAGAGTCGTTGTAGCATTATCAGTTGGCAATCTGTAATAACTACCCCTGATCCTACTCAAGAGGACTCAACTATAGCTCCTGAAAGGGAATTTTACATTGGGGTAAAACTGGGCAAGACAAACTAATAGTCGCGTAATTCTTCAGTGTATGAAAGAGGAAAGAGAATGACCAAACAAAGACTGTAACACAGTATTTCTAAGACACACTAGCAGGCTTTTTTCCAGTGGAGCATCTCTTAAGCTGCATATTGGGTCAAACCAGCTTTGGGAAATGGTGAGCCACAAAGCACTTTGTATCCAGAGGGAAAAGCAGCATTACAGGCATTCTAAGGAAGCAAATGAATACATTCATAGCATCATGAATAAAAGTACCATTTGTCACATAATAGGCAATGCTGACTTTAAGGCAGTTTTGCAAATGTTTCTCGTTGCTTTACAACTGTTTTCAAATAAATTGCTTGAAACTATGTAACAGCACCAATTACGATGAAACAGAAGGGAAAGTGAGAAAGGAACTCACTTGGTAGAAGGAAATACTCTGTAGCCTACAATAAGTAAAACAAACCAAGACACAAACATTTTCTGTAGATTCAGACTCTGATCACATTTCATCCAATAAATCTCTCTGCAAGGCTCTGTCTGTTTGTTCCTGTTTATAGCACACGCTTGTTTAATCTTCCCATGAAGCCTTTCTTGTCTCACAAAATGTTTTCTTAAACATATAAAAACTGTTTGACTCTCTCTATAAACTGACATGAACAAAATTCTTTCCATGTCTTTCTCAGAATTGTGGTGGAGGAGAAATCTATAATAATGGTCTACAGTAAACTCACAAATTTTAATATTGCAACTTCAAATACTCAGAAGGCTTTCACCAATTTCTCTTGCCCAGATTTTTTAAAAGAAGGTTTCAAACCTTCGCTGTCTCATTTAACTCATAATCAGTTTCAATGACACGTGCAATTTCAAAAGTTATGTGAGAGCCCTTAAATCCACAAGTACTGTTATGGTTTGGTTTGATATAAACTATCTCCCCTAGAGTTGTGGGTTTGAACACTTGCTCTCCAGCTGGTAGCACTAGTTATGCAAGTTTTGGAAGGTAAGCTTTGGGGTTGTACAGCACGGCCCCATTTCGAGTTTTCTCTCTTCCTCCTGACTGCCAGGGGCCCCTCACATTTCTTTCATCATGGTTTTCTGGCTGTGATTGACTTTATTCCCTCTGAACTGGAAGTCAACACAAAGCCTTTCTCTCCTAAGTTACATTTTGTCAGAGCATCCTAAAACAACAACAGAAAAATAACTAATACAGTTGCTGTGTAGACCCTGGCTGTTCTAAAATTCAATTCCTGGAGGCTGTGTGTGTGGCCGACAGCTTTAATCCCAGCACTCAGGAGGCAGAGGCCGGTGGATCTCTGTGAGTTTGGATCTCTGTGAGTTCCAGGCCAGCCTGGCCTACAAAGTGTGTCCAGGATAGCCAGGACTACAAAGAGAAACCCTGTATTGAAAAGAACAAAAACAAAAACAGACAAAAAAATCCTGCAATATGTAACAATACAAAATATGGAAAGAGACAAGAATATCTGATTTTTACTTTGAATCTATTCAGTGCTAAAATAACAATTTAAATAATTGACTTATCTCAATATTCCATCCCTCATTTAAAATGATCATGCAATTTCTTAACAAAATTATTAATCTGGATACTGGAAGCTACCTACAGTGAAGAACAGGAGAACTGGAGTTCAGAACCAACGACTAAGAATATCAGGTTTCTTTCATTAACAAACCATGTGACCTAGCACAAGTTATTTCGTTTCTTCCCTGATTCAGTATCATGGCAGAAAAGGACATTTTTGGTTGGGATCCAAGGAAAACAAAATAATCAGGCTACTTACAAAATCCTAACTCCCCCTACCCTTAACATGGCAATGTGGAGGCACTCAGAGCTAACTAGAGCAGGAAGCCATGATCAATCTTGGGTTTGTAAAGGTCAGACAGGGAATGGAGTTACAAGAGCCTGGAGAGCTAAAACTAGGCTAGAGAGGCCACCTGACAGGGGGCAGTGTCAGCAAGCAGGGCAGGTTGCTGTGCTGAAAGCAGGGAATGATGGGAGAAAGAGACATCCTGAAACTCTGCTCTCTCTTCATTATCTAAACCAGCAGGAAGCCCTGGAGGGCAAAGGAATCTGGGGCTTTTAGTTCTTGGGAGTCATCCCTCCAGACATGAAACAAGGCAATAAGGAAGAGAATTATTGGGGAAGGAATGAGCAGAAAGCACGACAGATGGGCCTCTTGTGAACTAAGCTCTGGACAACTTAATCATTAAGGCACTTTTGACTTCCAAATCTTATCACTCCAGTATATTTTGGCAGATTCTTGGGTCTATTTCATTGCTATTCCGTGCTTTATCCAGATGGAACAACATAGGAGGTCAAATAACTAGACAGATAGACAGACTGACACACAGACCAACACATACTTGCTGAAATTAAACAGAAGTCTCTCAAACACCAAAACAGGTCCCGTGCTGCTCAAGATGGTGAGCGGTTGACCCGCAAAAAGGCAAAAGATGGCTCCAGAGACAGCCGTGCCCAGGAAACTCTCCAACACTCCCTACAAGAAAGAATATTCACATGGTAAAGCAGAACCCAACCAAACACGCACCCTTCTTCCTACTTGTGATGCTTGCCAAAGAATGAAGCTGCTTCTATTGTTTCTTGTCATGGTTCTCCAGTGTTTGTTTCAGGGTAATTGTACCTTGCACGTAGTAGGTACTGTTAAATGGCTATAATTTAAACACAAAGCCTTGTTTTCTAACAGAGAATATTTGAACATGAGATGAGGACAAAGAGGACAATAATAATAATAATAATACTGTAATGTTTAAAATTATTTTATCTCTATTTTAATTTCATACATGTAGACAATGCATTTTGATCATATCCACCCCTGTTCACCATATTTCATTGCTCCTGCACATCACTCCCCATATCCACTTCCCCACTTAATGTCCCCCCTCTCTTTTTCTTCATAACCCACTGGGTTGCATGTCTGTACACCTGTGGTACGGGCCATCCATTGAAAATGTGAGCAACGTTTTCAGGAAGTCACATTCCCGAAGAAAACTCACTCCTCCTACCCCAGTGTCCATCAACTGCCAAGAGTGCTCAGCTGGCCATTTGCAATCTTTAAGCCACTGATTGTGAAAGTGATGATGATGATGGTGACGGTGGTAGTGATGGTGGTGGTGATGGTGGTGGTGGTGGTGGTGATGGTGGTGGTGATGGTGGTAATTCTCATTCCCTGCCAATGCATTTTCCAATGACAGTTCTCATTTCATGCTTACGTATTTTCCAATGCAAACTGCACAAAAACTTCAAGGAACCTTATTGTTAGAAAAAATAAATGTTCAGAGATATAAATAGCTAAAGCTTTTGTTCATATCTCTGGACACCAACCCATTCTTTTCCTTTAGGATAGCCAGAAACAATACCCGAAAGAATCACAAAATGACCCTCCTTAATCATGTCATGGAGAGCACAGGTTCTCATCCAGCAGGAGGGGCACAGAGAGGACCCCACTTACACACATGAGTACCAATGCAGAGCTTAAAGAGTGGCACCCATTATTTATAACCATCTCATAGAAGAGAATTCAAACACGAAGTGAAACAGCACAATCAAGATGTATTTAGACAGACATGACCAAAAGGGATCCCCCTGTGACCCAAACAGTATTGTCTTGATTTCCTGACTGGTGACATTGTGACACGCAGGTGAGTTAAATGATGTGAATGAACTGTGGGCAAGAACTCTTGGATATGTGTCCCCATCTAATCACACGTCATTCTTTGCAAGTATTAAGCATGTGCCATAGGCTTGGATTTTTCTAGATAGGGAAAATCTCAGCTCCTGTGCATAAATAGGGGCTTTTACAATTTTTTATTTAATTTTTAGCTACCCTGAATGCTTCAGCTGACCAGATAATCCATTGACAGGGTGGTAAAAGTTGTTTTGTTTATAATGCAGCCTAAGTACATGCATTAGGCACAGAAACACCACATCATTCTCCATCAAATACTGAAGAATCCCTATGTCTTATCTTTCACACAGGACCAAAACACAGCTCAGACTGGATGTGAGGCAGGGTGTGAAATTGGAAAGAAGGAACTTGAGATTTAGGATCCTTGGCTTGGCTTGCCATAGCCATTAATCTCCATGAGGGCAGGGACAAGGTCTTCCTGCATCTTCTGGTTCTCCTCCCATCATGCTGCTCACCTTCCCTCCACGTGCTCTGCCGGTTCTCAGTAATTGCCGAGGGGAGCAACACCGTCCGTTCCCCTATCAAAGGTCAAGAGCCCTTGCTGCTCATTCAGTAAAGATAGCAACCAATTTCATCCAGAAAACCACTGTGATTTATGGAAGCCATGTGATGATTCAAAGGCAGATTATTTTTATTTCAGTACTTGATCCTTTCATAAGTGCTAGTTTTCCATTCTGTGGCTGACAGTCCTGAAGCACAGACAGGTGATTTATTATACACACTGCACTGGAAACTTGCTTAAACTGAGAGATGCTTCCAGCATTTCTGAGAAAAGAACTATTTTCACCACATTTTGACATGTTCCTCTTCACAACACAGAAACTTTTAAAATAATCTCAGGGAGTGAATAACTTTAACTGTGACTAGAGTTTAATGAAACTTACAAAAGAAATCATTGTAAACACCTCTTCTGATTTATCACACCCAGAGCTCACCAGTATTGAATTTTAAAAGACAACTGCATTGAATCATGTCTTATCAAGAGCCATGAGTCTCAAAGATACTTCTACATCTGACTTCTAGAAGGGACAACTGTCCTAGCACTTCACCAAGATACTCTTGGCTGGGCTTGGGGGTGTGGTGGCATCAGGGGCTGCAGAGTGCCCTGACACTCTTGGTTGGCTCCCCACCTTATTTCACTGCTGTCAGAGGGTACCTACTAGGAAACGGTAGAAAAAGCAGACAGCCGGCAATCAGGAAATCCAAAGTCTAGACTGTTCTGTCACAAGAGACCCGATGATCTCCGGAATGTCACTTCACCTCTTTCAAGCAATAAAGCAAATGGTGACACAGCAGGGAAATGGGCTGGGGAGAGTCCCAGTCCCGGGGTGGCTTACAGGCTGTATCCCGTCCGTCCCCAGTGTGATCTCTAATCTGCACATTAGATCAGACAGTGTACGGAACATGTCTAGCATGGTCTCTGATGGCAGAGAGAGCTATTTGAATAACAGCAACCTCTCATATGCAGCATGCCCATTTGGATATCAGATAAAGAGCCTGGGCTAGATGAGCTCTAAAGTCTCAGCCAGATGGCTCAGCACTGGGGCAAACCTTGCAGACAGAGCTACCTGAACTTAAATCAGCTCCTCCATTTTCCTGCCTAGAGCCAAGCATCTCTTCCTTTAAGCCTATGGCTACCATACTGGATAATCACTTGGTTTAGAGCAGTGGTTCTCAACCTTGCTCATGCTATGACCCTTTAATATAGTCCCTCATGTTGTGGTGACCCGCAACCATAAATTTTTTGGTTGCTACTTCATAACTATAATTTTGCTACTGTTACGAATCATATCTGATGTACAGGATATCTGATATATGAGCCTCAAGAGGATATAATCCATAGGTTGAGAACTGTTGGATTAAATGAAAAAAAGCACAGCAGAACACCAAGTAGAGACATAACATCAGGCGTCTCCCCTCATGTCTTCTCATCCCCCTCATCCCACAAGGAAACTATTATTTCTTTTTCCTTCAAAACAGGCAGAAGGTGCAAGGGGTGGCGTGAAAAGAGGAAAACCAGTCCTCAGTGGGAAGGGGGTAGTGGCTCTTAAAATCTGCATTAAAATATAGACAACTTGGGAGCAACACTTTGGCCTGAAGAGTTGTTTCTGTCATTAAAATTGATGCTTAGCTGCAATTTCTGTATCCATTCCTCAATTGAGGGACATCTGGGTTATTTCCAGATTCTGGCTATTATGAATAAAACTGCTACAAACATGGTTGAGCAAGCGTCCTTGTTGTGTACTTGAGCACCTTTGGATATATGCCTAAGAGTGGTATAGCTGGGTCTTGAGGTAGCACTATTCCTAATTGTTTGAGAAAGCTCCAGATTGATTTCCAAAGTGGTTGTACCAGTTTACATTCCCACGTGGAATGGAGGAGGGCTCTACTTTCTCCACATCCACTCCAGTATATGTTGTCACTTGAGTTTTTTTATTTTAGCCATTCTGATGGGCGTAAGGTAAAAATCTCAGGGTCGTTTTGATTTGCATTCCCCTGACGACTAAGGATGTTAAACATTTCTCTAAGTGTTTCTCTGTCATTCAAAAATCCTCTATTGAGAATTATTTGTTTAGCTATGTACCCCATATTTTAATTGGATTACTTGATTTGTTGCTGTTAAACTTCTTGAGTTCTTTTCTATATATTCTGAATATTAGCCCTCTGTTAGATACAGGGCTGGTGAAGATCCTTTCCCAATCTGTAGGCTGTCGTTTTTTTCTGATGACAGCATCCTTTGCTTTACAGAAACTTTTCAGTTTCATTTACATAATGGAATACTACTAAGAAATTAAAAACAAGGAAATCATGAAATTTGCAGACAAATTGTGGGATCTAGAAAAGATCATTCTGAGTGAGGTATCCCAGAAGCAGAAACACACACAGGGTATACACTCACTTATAAGTAGATATTAGACAAATAATATAGGATAATCATACTAAAATATATACACCTAAAGAAGCTAAGCAAGAAGGAGGACCCTTTCTAAGATGATCAATCCTCATTCAGAAAGGCAAATGGGATAGACAACAGGAGAAGGTAAAAACAAGGAACAAGACAGGAGCCTACCACAAAGGGCCTCAGAAAGACTTTACCAAGCAGGGTATTAAAGCAGATGCTGAGACTCATAGCCAAACTTTGGGCAGAATACAGGAAATCTCATGAAAGAATGGAGAGATAGAAAGACATGGCAAGGTCTGGAACTCCACAAGGAGAGCAACAGAACCAAAAAAATCTGGGCCCAGATTTTTTTTCTGAGACTGATATTCCAACCAAGGAACATTCATTGAGATAACCTAGAATCCCTGTACAGATGTAGCCCAAGGCTGCTCAGTCTCCAAATGGGCTCCCTAGTAAGGGGAACAGGGGCTCTCTCTGACATGAACTCAGTGACTGGCTCTTCGATCACCTCCCTGAGGGGGGAGGCAGTATTACCAGGCTACAGAGGAAGACTATGAAAGAAAGTCCTGGTGAGATGGAAGGGGAGGAGGACCTCCCCTATCAATGGACTGGGGACATGTTATAGGAGGAAATGAGGGAGGGAGGGTGATATAGGGAGGGGCTACAGCTGGGATACAAAGTGAATGAACTGTAATAAAGAAAAAAGTTATGTTAAAAATAAATTAAAAATGATTCTCAGGAGAAAAACAAAATAGTCTATTTCATGTTACAGGATTGAAATCAAAATGCTCACCCAAAACAATTTGTAACTATTTCTCTGCTTGCCTGGGGTATGAAAGTTAACCCAAGATTTCCTATTTTTCAAAACAGCCAGGAAAAGTAGAACAAG